TATGTCAATTAAAAATGGAATATTATTTTGAGTGTTTTTAATACAATTGTTTCAATTAATCTATATATCTCAAAGTCAATTTATAACATCTAAGAATTTTTTCATTCACATTATACGAACAAAAATATGTTATTAACATTTTCTTACGAGTTACTGCAATTACTCTACTTATTTTATATGTTAGTTTTAAATCACCCTTAAAGTCAAAATAACAAATATAAATGTAAAGTATTGTGTCAATTATTTAACATTACTAGTTCGTTAATAAATAACACAAGACGAATGAGTTACTTTAACTTAAAATTTAGAGTGGATTTCCTGGGACATGTAAAAAATGTTAAAATTAACATTTTCTTTTTTACTGTATATATAATTATGTATAAAATATTTTTTCCCGAGCTCTAATTGTAAAATTTTATAATATAACTGCACTTAGTCCTTCACTGAATCTAAATGTATAAACTAATCATATTAAAGAATTTTACAACAGGTGCAAAACTTCATGCCCTTAACCTTAAGCCTTTATGTCTAACCCCGGATCTACAATAGGGTTTTAAGCCTTAAGCCATAAGAAATGGGCGAATCACAGTCGCTTATTCTCCTCGGATTCGACTGTAATTGGTCAATTTCTTACGGCTTAAGGCTTAAAACACCTATTGTAGATCCGGGGTAAGGCCCGATTGCATCAACGTTACTTTAACTTTAAGCGAGGCTTAATAGTTAATACTCTACAATCTACACAAAAAAAAGACCATTCTTAAATCAACCATAATATACTCATATATAAGCAAAAATATTATAATCTTGCTTCAAAGATATCAATCTTGATTTGATTAAATTTGTTTTGATGCAAGTATTACTTTGCACTTAATTCAAAACTTGCTCAATTAAAAATCTTATATCAATACAAATTCAAGACTAAAATTTTTAAAGCAGGATTACAATATTTTTGCTTATATATGAGTATATTATGGTTGATTTAAGAATAGTCTTTCTTTCTTTGCAGTTCTCTCTCTCTCTCTCTCTCTCTCTCTCTCTCTCTCTCTCTCTTTCTCTCTCGATTTTAAAAGAAAAATGTTAAAATCAGAGTTTTAATCCTCGCTCAAAGTCAAAGTAACGTTGGAGCAATTGGGACTAAGACCCCTAAGAATTGCAGAACAGAGGTCTACACATTTAAATCGAGATAAAAATTAAACGACATTAATAGAAATGACAAATGAATGCGTGCGTATTTTTTCAAGAGAGGAGAAGTTATTCAAGGCGCGCGTTCGTATTTAAATGTTTGTGTCTCATGACCGCGTTTCACGTAATGTAATAATTAACTTCCTATTAAATTCATCTGCGATATAATTAAGATCCGTCATCAGAGATGAAAAAACAAATAACTCATCGGCCTGACGTGTACTAACGAAGTTAAAACACAAATTAATCTGCAACATAAAGATATCCGAATTATAGCAACGCTGGAGATGCTTGCCAATTGAACAAAATTGAAAAAAATTATGCTGATAATACAATTTTTTTACTCTTTCAATATAAGATTTAATCAACAGTAATACATTTTCCAAAAAAAATCTCTCATTTTCTCTTTTTAATAAGTTTAAGCCTTTAAAATTCTACAGATAAAATCCCAGTGAAAAGTGACAATGAAATCAATATCGATTCGATATGATGACGATTCTGTCATTTTTCACTGGGATATTTTTCTCTTTTGAAATATTTTTTCTTACTAACGCCACATTTAAGGAAAAATTGGTACATTGAAATAAAGTGCATAAAATTCTTATTCGCATCGTTATAAAATCTCTGTAAGTTATGTCTCAAAGATTTAGAAATTAATTCCAAATTGAACAAAAAACAATAAACTGCTTCATAAAGTGCTTCATACAGCACTGTACAAAAAAATGGCTCAGGAAATTTCGACTCAATTTTAAATCAGAATTGGCGCTACGTAATTAGGGTCCGCTTTTTAAGAAACACCCTGTATATCATATTTGTAGTCATTCGCGTGCCAATTTAGTTTTCCGGATTTAAAAACGAAATTAAATTACTGTAATAATATAACGAATTAAATTAAATTGACAAGCAATTTTTAATAACTTAATGCTCAATTAGACATCTTATATTATAAATACATAAAAGTGCTGAAAAACTATAAATAAATTTATAACATATTTGTCTGATATAATAGCTTCAGAAAAAGAAAAAAATAATTCAAAAAAACCTTTAATAAAAATAGTCAAGTAATGTTTATTTAATTTGTAAAATAAATTTAATAAATGATTTGAAGAATATAATAATACAACTGTGAGAGTAAATTATTAATTATACTTTATACACTAAATTAATAATTATACTAAACAAATTAATTACCATCCAGGTTTAAAAACATTTTGAATCTATTGCTTTCAAATTATACTTATTAAATTATACCTATCAGCGATCCGCATTTATAAATATCTGTTTTATTTAATAAAACGGATCAATAATGCAACAGCACAAACATTGCATGCAAGAAGGAAAAGTTATATTTGGATTTGTAAAATATACTTTAATTCGAACACTTGTGTACGTAAAACCATAACGACTAAATTACAAATGGATCGATGCTATTAGCTGTTAGGCGAAATCAAACCCTGTATCAATGTTTATCAATATTTCAACAAAGATTTATATGTCACGCTACGACCTTCCCCGAACATTTCTTCAGCGCACAGACGTGTTGTATTTAGTATTATACGATCTGAGGTACCATGCGGACACGTGGTTTAAAAACTTGTGACAAAATTGAAATAGCGAAAGCACATTCAGCTCTTGGTGAAAAAAATGACGCAAACAAAATTGACGAAGATAGACGAAGGAACTTGTCCGGGCAACATTTTACAGAAGAGGAAAAATATTCTCCTAAATGTAAGATTTGAAATTAAGTGATTTACGATGCGAATGAGGATTACAATTTAAAAAATCATCAAAATTAAAGAATTAACCGTATAAAATGAAAAAATTTAATTTAAATAGAAAAATTTTTCATGTAAAAACACTTGGCGCTGCTAAATCTCGATATATAATAATAACATGGTAATATAGTAGTAAAGCATGGATGTAAATAAAAAGGATAAGAAAATAATACTTAGAAAAATAATATAACTAAGAAGCATATTAATAAAAAAAAGTCAGAATCATATTAAAAAATATCAATATTTCGAAAAATAAGAAAAATAAAAACCATCCCCAATGAGAGTTAAAATACCTAGCATGTGTATATATGATTGAGTTATAGAGTCGTGTAAATTATGATGATCGTTGTGAATGCTATTATGTTTAAATCAAAGAAAAATAAATTTAGACTTGTAAGACATGCATTATAAAAAAGAATTTATTATTACTTTTATTATTACTTTTAAATTATATTACAATTATATATATATATTACAATAATTATTATTA